ACACCTATGCATGTTATGGGCGGTGTTTCGGGAGAGGAGCACTGTGCTTCAGAAACGTGAGTGCACTGGGCATGAGCACGTCTGCCTTTTGCTCTAGAGGGAGACACTATCCGCCTTTCAAGGCTATTCACCATTAAAACATCCTTGAAAAGATAATCCAGAGCAATGGCAGCTAGTACCTCTGCTTGCAAGATGTGCAGAAGTGCGAGAGGCCTATGGAGAATTAATTGTCTTCAAAGAAAACGTCTTTGGAATATTAAGTCGTTCTTCCCATGAATATGTTAGTGTTCCATAGCTACTTTGCCCTTCAGGGTGGTTCTGTCATCCTGCTTTATGGTTTTACCCATAAAGCAATGTTACTTTGTATACTTCTTTCTTTTGTAAAAAGTAGTTTTTGAAATTATTGTTGGTATATAGAAATATAATGAGGATTATGTTAGTTATATCCAACTTTTATATATCCAATTTTTAGTTATCTTAGTATTACTTACTCTATTATTGGTATATAGAAATATGAGTATTATGTTAGTTATATCCAAAATAACTTTTAAACTCTTTTGTTAATTCTAATTTGCAGATTGTTTTGGGCCTTTGGATGACTTTGTCTAATATGTGTATATTCCTAGCCAGGGTTGGTGGCTCACACCTGTAATCTTAGCACTCTGGGAGGCTGAGGTGGGAGGATCCCTTGAGCTTAGGGGTTTAAGACTGGCCCGAGCCAAATGTTGTCTCTACTAAAAGTAGAAAAATTTGCCAGGTTGCAGTGGATGCCTGTAGTCCCAGCTACTTGGGAGGCCAAGGAAGGAGGATAACTTGAGCCCAGGAATTTGAGGTTGCTGTGAGCTAAGCTGAGGCCATGGCACTCTAGCCTGGGCAACAGAGTGAGACTCTGTCTCAAAAAAAGAAAATATGTGTATATTCCCATCAGCTGCACATAATTTGGAATTTGTTTCTTCCATTCTGGTCTTTCTTTATCCTTTGTATTTTTTAAATCTTCTTTTTGCTGGCTAAGCTCTCTAATCATCATGTTAAATAAAGTAGTAGTAATAGTAAACATTCTTGTCTGGGGCATAGAGAGAGTATTGTTTTATGCTTCAATGTGGAGTGATGTTTGCTCTAGGTTATGGGGATGGATACCCATATCAGGTTAAGGATGTTGCTTTCTAGTCTTAGTTTGCTAAGATTCTTTATCGCGAATGCACATTACATTTTCTTACATGTTTTTATCACCTTTATTGAGAAAGCCATGCATATATTTTTTTCACTTTAATCTGTTACTGTGTGCTATGGTTTGAATGTTTGTGGCCCTTCCAAAATTCAAGTTGCAACTCAGTCCCCAAAGCAACAGTACTAAGAGCTAGGGCCTTATGAGGTGGCTAGAACATCAGGTCTCCACCCTCCTAGATGAGAGCTGGTGGCCCTTTCTGCCCTCTGCCCTGTGGAAACACAGCATTCAAGGTGGCATCCTTGAAACAGTGTCTAGGCCCTCACCAGTCACTCAATCTACCGGCACCTTGGTCTTGGACTTCTCATCCTCCACAAGTGAGAGAAATAAATTTCTATCATTCGGAAATTACCCATCCTGTGATATTTTGTTATAGCAGCAGAATAGACCAAGACAATGGGCTAATCCTAACTCGGCCATTTCAATTGCTAATAGTTTGCATTATGCCCCTGAGTGAGATTGGCTTACTGTACATTTCCTTTCTCATACTACTATTATGTGGTTTTGATATTAAGGTTAGACATGCCCCATAGAATCTGGACCCTCTACAGTAAGGCCTTGGCCCTCATGACACCATCAAATTTGTTTTCATCAATGATGCCAATGATCTCCATGTTGCTAATCCAACGGTCAATTCTTGACTCTCACCTCACTTAGCAGCATATGGCATGAGGACTCTCCCTCCTTCAAAGACTTTTTCTTTGTTATTTTTTTTATTTCAGATTAACATGAGGGCACATGTGATTAGGTTATATTGTTTGTGTTTGTAAGGTGAAGTCCTTGAAAGGCTTTCTTTACTTTATTCTAGATACCATACGTTCCTGGCTTTCCTCCTAAGCCTCAGGCTGTCTATGCTCAGTTTCCTGGAGAGTTTTCTTTATCCTGACTTTCCCCAGGCACACTCCTTAGACCTCCCTTCTTTCCATCTGGATGATGGTCAGCAGTGGTGACTCAGTCAAGCTCAGGTGTTCCATGTGTCTCTCTCTCAACTGAACTCCTGTGACCAACTGCATCTTCAACAGACCCACTTGGCCGGCTAATGGCATCTCAAAATCAACTCATCCTAAAGTGAGCTTCTGATATTCTCTTCTAAAACCCCTTTCCACATTCTTCTTCACAAACCAATGGAAACTCCATTATCTCTTTAACGTTACCTTTTTTCCCTATTTCTTCTTCTGCAAGATTAGACAGACATAATCTTGGAAAGTGTCACACTATATCCCGTATGTCTTAACCTCTCAGTTCTCTATACAGAAGTTATCCATTCAGAAGGAAAAAGGCTGCTTTTTCTTTGTTTACTTTATTGGCGTCTATCTTTTAGTTTATGAATTCTCCTGTTAGCTTCATCTCCTCTGCTACTTGAGCCTTCCACTTTAATTTTTGAATTTTTCACCTCTACAGACGCTAGTTTTAAAAAAAAATATCTGCCCACTTTTGGTAGTTTCTTTTTTTTATGCGTATTAAATCTTGAGTAGCATTTTCATACAAAACATTTATTTTATAGCATCTGAACATTTAGTATTGAAGTCTTCGAGGATGTGGGTACCTTGTTTGCTGTTCCTTTGGACTTGCACGTCTAATGCTGGGTTATCTTCCTTTTGTTTCTATTATTTTATGTTGTGAGTTCATATTTGCTGACCCTCTGTCTGATAAGGGTACCTTTCTTTTGTTTGCTTTTGCCAGGCCTGGAGTGCTACTGACATGTCCTCTTAAAAACATAATTATCAGCAACACAAACTTATACAAACCGTGCATATTCAGTTACTAAACCCCCATGAATGTCAGCTAGTGACTATTAATTTGCAGGGGAGCCTTTAAAAACATCCATGAATAGACAAGACTGAGAATGGTTATTTTCCTTGTTCTTTTCAACTTTTTGTGTTATTTTAGTTCACTATTTTTAAAGCCTTTCAAGGATGCAGGCTTTATGGGAGGGAGGTGGACTCTGATGTGACTCCCAGTTACCCACTGGCCCCCAATTTTCTACACATTCTCTAGGCTATGGTGATCAATACAGTCTCCCATAGTCTGGTTGTTTCCAGGTTTGCCTCTCTAGAAATAAAAGTTTAGCATCAGAGCCACATAAAACTGTGGTCCCCAACCCCCGGGCCATGGACCAGAGCAGTCCGTGGCCTGGCTGGGAAGCAGTCTGCACAGCAGCACCACCTGAATAAGCTCCACCTCCTGTCCAGCACCTCTCCAGAGAAAAATCCTCTCCCTGAAACCTGCCCCTGTATTAAAAAGGTTGGGGACTGCTGACATACAAGATGTGCTGAAACACAGGGTGCTGGGCAGTACACTCGGAGTTTCTGATTACTACTCTGGGGTGGGAGCCCCAGAATTTGTATTACTAACTTCCTAGCTGATGCTGATGTGATTGGTCTGGGGACATTTGAGAACCACTCCTATAGACCAAATGGTTGGCAAATTTTCTCTATGATGTAAATATTTTTGACTTTGTAGGCCACATGGCACTTGTAGCAATCGCTCACATCTGCTGTTGTAGCATGAAAGCAGTTAGAGAACACACAAACAAACGGGGTGACTATGTCCTGATGAGACTTTACCGATGAAAATATGCATCGGCCATATTTGCTGACCCTTGACTACTGTTCCCATTCTGTCCCTGGCCACAAAGCCTTTGTTTTGCATTCTTACAGGTACACCTAGTCATTTAAAAGAGGTTTAAAAACATTTAAATAAACATTTTTAGATTTTTACATAGAAGAAAAATTTTTAGATTTTTCTAAAAATTTTTAGAAAATATTTCTAATGCCATATAATGCCATATTTCTAGAAATGGAAGTCTTGAGCTTAAGTTTCTACTTGTTGAGAGAGTTTAGGACAAGACTTTTTCAGCAGATCTAATCTTTCCTACAAGTGCTCTCTAGTTGGCCATGAAAAATTTATGATTAGTTCATATATATGTGTGTATATATATATATATTTTTTTTTTTTTTTTGCAGTTTTTGGCTGGAGCTGGGTTTGAACCTGCCACCTCCAGTATACGGGGCCGGCGCCCTATTTCTTTGAGCCACAGGCACTGCCCTAGCTCTTGTATTTTTTCCTAGGAACTATCCCACCTGCTATCCTCCATAACATACCCCCCCCCCCATCATACTCAGTTACCTCAAGGGCCCTAAACTTACCCCGCTGTTTCATTTCTTCAGGCTTTTGCACATATTTTCCCATTTCCCAGGCTCCCCTCCCTTCCTCTCCTATAAGAAGCTGAGTAAATTCCTGCTACTCCTTAACCCCTCTTTAAAAGCTTGCCTGTGTGAGGTTATTCTTTCCCAAGCTGCTCCTTGGGCTTCTGTGCTCCCTTCACTGGGCCCACTGTTACATCCAGGGTACTCCACTGGCACTGGGCGTTTCCTGGAGCGTCTCCCTGCCAGGCTACAAGCAATGTAAGGAATGAGTTTATCTTTAAATCTCCGGTGCCTGGCACATATTTGTTATACAATAAATGTTTTATGATTTACTTTTGAAAAATTAAATGCATAGCTTATGTAAATGAGTGACTATTTAGGGAATGTGGTTTTAAACAACTCACTTGTTTAAACCCTTGAAATTTTAATCTTACTTTAGTAATCGCCATCCAAATTAGAGCCTCCTAAACCCAGTCTCCCAGTGTCCCTTATTATAATCTGAGTTAGCCGCACCTGTATAGGTTCGTAGTCAAACACACAAGGACACAGACCACAGCAAGCTTCATACACAACCAGCATGGAGGAGACCATTTATTGCTTCTAAAATAAAACAAAAGACAGCGTTCTGTTTCTCTTTTATTGCAACCCATTCCAAGGTCAAAGATTCACGGAAATATAGAAACTACAAACTGGGTGAATTTTCTTTATCCACTCAAAAAGACATTAATGACAAAGGACCAGAATTTTCCACTACAACAATATATTTCATAGTCTTTATTCTGAAAATACTGTTGACATTTTGGAGAGGATAAAAAGCCCTGCATTAAACATGTTCACATGTATTTATGACATTCTAAGCAGAAAAAAGAAACTCTATATTGCCCAGAAAAATTATTTTAAGCCTCATTTCAAAGCATCTAATGAGAGCACATTCAACAGCCATCACAGGATCACGCAAGGTGATGCTTTTTTCTGGCTGTTTTTTGATATTAATGCTTCGAGGCTGGATAGGATATTTCTACAGGTTGCTACAAATGTACCAAAGCAGTTTTCCAGGTTATGCTGCATGAGGCTTTCTGGATTAGTCAACACCTTAAAGAGTAAGTGCGAGCCCCCCCACCCCCAAGCTAGAAGCATGTCGTAGTGCTGTGCTTCAGATTCGAACAATGCGGCAGGTTTTACAAAATCAATTATACACTCAAAACCATTTGACAACCAAACTGTGACACTCCAAGGATTATTACAACTTTGAACTGAAATGGTACCATCTCTATCACAGATGGCTCTCCCTTCTTTTGTCTTTTTAACTATTTAAAATATAGCATGACATATATAAAAATTAAACTTTTGCTTATTCACTCAACCTACTATTACTATACATATTGTCTTATAAATTAGTTTTGGATTAAAAATCAGTTAAAATATTGTGAGATAAGATTTTTTTTTTTTTTTAGTGGTGGGGAAATGGGTGTGAAAACAATGCATTTCATGGTGTAAGAAGAAATATAGTTTACTTATGTTAAACAAGTTTTTTCTTACACAAATTTTATTCCCTTCAAATTAAATTAGAAACCCATTTAGTTATGGGAAAAATATTCTTGGTGCTTGCTGACTAGATTTTCCTAACTGATTGGGATTAAAAACAAAAAAATGCCACATCAGAAACACGTTGACATAATCAAAGGAAACAGGTGTTTACAAAAAAAGGCATCATTATAAATAAGTGAATGGCATTCAAATGCAAAGCTATCTTTTGTTTCTTACAGCTAGTATCACTTTAGCAATATTGGGACCTATAAAAAAGGAAACTCAAACCTCAATGTCTCAAAGACCAAAAAACACTGATGCCCACTCCAGGAAGAATAAATAGCAAACTCACAAGTTAGGGCTTTGCTTCTAATTCTACTGGGAAAGGTAATCATTCTTTAGCTTAAAAAGGCTCCTTGCTGTCTTGATTATAAATCGAGACACAGGAAAGGTTATATGAGCCTGAGTCCCTATTATGAATTAATTGTAAAGACACACTAAATCAAAACATATATTCATTTACTGACAGGTATTTCCTTAACTGAAAACTGGCAATATTTAATTGAACAAAGAAATGCTTATTTGTGACAAGTGTAAACAGAATCTTAATGAACAGATTTTTCTAACTTTCCTTCTTAACTCATATATTACCTAGTAATAGATCTTTGCGGTAGCATAGAACTATTCAGAAAATGATACCATGCATATGTCCAAAAAAACCTGTTCAAAAACCAAAGCAATGCAAAAGAAAAAAAAAATTTCCGTAGAAAGATTGTCTACTTATATCTCACTCATTAATTTTCTATTAATGTGACTACCCCCCAAATTTCAGACATACACTTTCATAATTACCAAAATTAACAAAATAATGAAATGATCTGTAGTTTGTTTTTTTTTAATAACTGCACACCATTAATTACATTGGTGGCTTCAATGCTAAGATTAACTCCAAATACCATTAAAATATATCCCGACCAGTTACTATCCATGAAATAAAAGCTAACGCAATGTTAACGTGAAACCAACTAAAATATTTAGTGCTCAACAGAACGCATTTGTAGAATAATGAATAATTAACTCCTGGGAGCTGGCCAGGGGAGCTCAGATTGTTGCCTCCATATGAAAAATTTACAAAAGGCTTATTCTCTCTCGTCCCTAAGTCACACACCAGACTGCAAGTCGGCTACCCGTGGACACACGGAGTTAGGCGGCATTTCGGAGGATGACACACTTCCTCAGTGGCCTGGAGGAAGGCCCTTCTGTCAGGAAACCATCTAGGAGAACCCGCTGTGGTGTTCGGGTGCACGCACGCGTGCGGTCTGGGAGAAAGTGTGGGTGCCTGCGCGGCGTCTGTGCTTGGACTTTTGACAGTTCTGGTTCCTGGATTCTCATCAGAGCAGCATCACTTCAGCACAAGTGCGCGATTCCATCCCGGGGGAGAGGAGACCTTCTTTTTTGGACATCTCTAAGTGGCAGCGAGTACAAGCTCAAAATAATACAACCATTTTTTTGACTCTATATTTTAAGAAGTTTTTTTTTTTTTTTTTTTAAAGAGAAATAAGCCTTTGAACTTAAAACTAGATGGCTCGTGGCTTTCACAATTTTTAAGGGAAAAAGCCAACTCACCTGGGAAGAAATGACAACTGCACTTATGGTATGTAATATGCAAACAAGACACAGAGACGCACTGCGCGCGCGCGCACGCAGGCCGGGCACAGCAAAGCTCTTTCCAAGAGACTGCCCACCTCCAATCTACAACATGCTCCACCCCGCTGAACGGTCCGGGAGGACCCGAGCTCGGCCGCAGGGTTAGGAAGAGGCCGCAGACATGTTGGGGGTCCAGCCCATCTGGTAGGCTCTCTCCAGGGTGCGCTTGCAATCCTGCAGGACCGTGCTGAAGGTGATGTGCGGGTACTGCTGCACCAGCTGCTCCACTGTCACCTCATTGACCTGCAGACAGAAAACAGCCGCCGTCACGCTCAGGGGCACCCACACCAGGCGCTGCCCTCCGTGTGCCCTGGCTTGCTGAGGCTTGCTCTCCGCACACCGCGAGCCCCGCCGGGCCCCTGCTTAGCCAGCGAGGACGTGCTCTGTGCACACCCCCTCTTGCCTGACCTCTCTGATGCCCTTAGGGATTTTTTTAAAAGACACGATATCAAGAAATGAAACGTGTTTTCCAGAAACATAAATGACTGTGACTTGGCAAGATCTTCACAATATCCATTGAAACGCTAGCGCTCGAGAGGTAAGGGAGCAGGAAGATAGCCCGCTAAGGCATCATCACTGTGACAGCGTCTTGAGGACAAAAATTATAGAATGGAGGAGAAGATGCACCGGATTCCAGACAGTAGTGCTGGGGAAGATGTTTATTTTTCTTCCCTTTAAATGTTAAGGTATTGCAAACTTCAAGTCCCTTTGTGAAAAGGGCTGAAATGTGAGGAATCAATAATTAAAACATACATGGCTGGCAGGTCAGGGATGGCCCCAGTAGACCTTAACCATCAAAGATACCACCTTGATTCTTGATTAGACAAGGCAATCAGACAGGCCTAATTAAAACTAACACCTTTACAATTGCTGTGCTGTGAAGGGATTAATTTGTCAATTATTTTTAAGCTGATTGCAGTTCATATCACAGAAGTAGACAGCTTTCTTCATCCTTTAGATAAATAAATGATTAACCTAAGAACCACAACTTTTAGGTAGCTTTATTTAAAATCTTTATTGAACACTTGGGCATTTTCAAATACATTAATATTTCATTTATACTGCGTAAGCTAGCCTGAAAGAAGGTACTTGTGATACACATTTTTGAGCATTCTTCTTGATGTCCATTATCGGGAAAGATCAGGACCACCAGGAAAAACGGAAAACAACCTCAAACCTGTGTTTGCTTCGAAAGCCTGCTTAGAAATACGATGACCGTGAAATTCAGTTACCTGCCCTTTTCTGAAACAACAAGATGTCTTCTGAGTGATTTGGCAAACTATGTTATATATCAATCTCTTTTTATCATTGAGAGTTGATATTTCAACGTTGTGTTGACGATACTTAATAACTGTCAGAACATTTCTATGCTTAAGACTTGATTGTATTTAAGTCAACTTCTATTCCAAATTCAACCAAGCCATGCACTTAATTCATTTTGTGATAAAGCTATAGAATGTATTATACATTTTTTCAAAAGCAAGAAAATAATTCTGAATAAAAAAGAAACCTATTACACAAATTAAACTTGAGAATGGGAACTGATGGATCTTAAGAGGATTTTAAAGAATATATAATTTTTTATTTTTCAATTCAAATGTGTGCTTTAAGTCTTATTTGAGTTCAGACAGCTTACACACCACCCTGAGAAGTCAGCCAACATCCAGCCCTGCCTACCCCCCTAGCATGTTTTTGGTACCATCCAGCCTCTTGGCCCAATTACAGATTACCTAGCTTTTCAAGTTCCTCTGCCCTTATTTTTCAACCCACTTCTCCATTGTGACCCCTCTTCTCATGCCCACTACCTATTCATTTTTGAGTTCTTAGCCTCAGTGTCATTGATCCCTCCCCTGCTCCTGCTCCCTCCCCCAGTTACATAAAACTTCCCACCATTCACTCTCCCAACACTGCCTACTCTTCCTTCATAGTACTTATCACTCTGTTAAGTTACTTTGTGGTTGCTTAGTTTAATGTCTGCTTCCCCCACTCTGATGGAAGATCCACAAGAGCGATGATGGCCCAGGAACCGTTAGAGAGTAAATGCTCAAACAATAACAAACTACAAGTAAACAACAGAAATCCAGGAATAAGGCAAAGCCAGAAACTAACATACTGATCAAGATGACCAGCAGTTTCCAGAAGAACTCATTCAGCTTACGAATCTGCTTCTTTCAGGGAAAGGCTCCCTAAGCACCTCATTTCCCCACTATACTGGGTCAGCAGTCCTTCCCTGCAGGCCCACGGCAAGCACCCTGCGTGGTCTGACCCCTGTGGGAGTGGAGTGTTCTCACACTGCCTGGCAATCACCTTGTCTCTTGCCTGGCTCATCCACCTTAGTGAAAGGCTCTGGAGACCAGGGTTTGCCCTTTTATCTTTAAGGTTATCTTCGAGCTGTGCACAAAGAAGAAAGGAACCACGGCAACAGGGGTTCCTATCATGGACCTTGGAGCCAACCAGAAATAGGTTTGAATCTTGCTTTCACTTCTCATCTGGAAAAACTGGATAACAGTCCTCATCATCACAGGATTGTTACAAGGATTAAATGTAATAATACACTCTGCTGTGACTGACATGAAAAAGCCTTCAAATGGTAGCCCTTACTACCGCAGCCAGCACTCAATAAATGGTCATTGAACTCAAGAGCTAATTTGTGGTATCTTAGGGCAACCAATTCTCTATAGAGCTAATCAATTCCGTTCCGCACCTGGGATATCTCAGAAATAAACCTTGATAACACTAGTTGTATTGGTCAAAATAAAATAGACAGAGGACAAGAGGTAACTTTTAGAATGTAAGAAGAAGAAGAACATATTCTATTTTAATGCTCTCTGGAGGTGATTCCAGAACTTTCCTTAAACACATAATCTAGGTTTTAAATATCCACTGTCAGTAAATTTTCTATCCTGTAATTAGGTTAACTTGCCATTAATAAAGCTGGAAGGATGCAGGCTTCACTGAGAGAGAGCTAAAGTCATTTGGTCAGAGTGGATCCTCAAAAAATCTATGTCGCATTGCAAAAGAAGTAAACCCAGCCTCAATAACTTGGGATTCAAGAAACTGCTAACTAAAAATCCTTGAGGAAAGAACAGAGCCGAGAAAACATTTAAACCCATCGCAAAAACACAGACTATTTCCTATGGTACATCTTTTCTAATCTACTCACAGGCTTGTGCAAAGTTTTGTACCTAGGGCTGACAGGCAATTTGTTTTACAGGGCCAATTTTTAAAAATAGAAAATAGCTCTATGTGATAACTGTTTTCCAGGAAGAAGCATATAATTCACCTTAAGCAAACTTGATATATGAAGATATTGATTTATGAAGTATATAAATTAGGGGATAATTGTTCATTTTAGTGAAGAATATCATGGTAGAGTTAATTTATTTTGTCAGCTCCCCTAATGTATTTTATATATTCTTTGATTTACCAAAATTCAATTTACCTATTTCTGTTGCAGAAAATAAAACACACCTGTAGTTGAGCATATAGATGATGGTGTGTTATTTCTCTGCCCCTCAGAGGGTCTGGGTAAGAACAGGCAATGATTTGGGTTTGTGCGGCTGCATGAACAATGGCACCACTTATCCTCTGTGGATATAATGTGCCTTCTAAGCAATCTTTTTGCTAACTTGTACTCGGTAAATGCTAGAAAACAAAGCTGTGGGGGAAATGCAGATATTCCATTTTAGAGCTTTAGTGGGCAGAAGTTATTCAGGGAGGTACATGGGCTCCTGCTAGGGAGGTTCCATCTTTTACTTATACTGTCTCCTAGGGATCTCGTGTGAAAAATTTTTAACTAAAGCTACGTTCATTTATTCCTCAGAAGTACAAATTCTGTTCACCTCTCCTTTCTATCTGCTCTATAGGTGCTTTGGTGCTACAGAGAAGGACCCTGCGTAAGACACCAGCAGGGTCCACATCCTTTTGAACCGTCACGGCCACGTGCACATCTGTGCATTGTGTCATGCCAACTCCACGTCTGAACGAAAGGCCCTTGCTACGTCCCGACTCATGAAACACGGGCAGTATAAAGGGGAATGCAAAGATGAGGGGTTTTTTTTTTTTTCCTCTATGATCTCTGGTTTTCTATATTCAATTTCTTTTCCTTTCACTGAAAACTACCAATGGCAACTTCTATCTTACACGGGAGATTTGAGAAATGCAATGCATCTTCCTAAAGAAATATGCTGTCGTATCATTTGGAGAAATTACTATGATTAAAGGGAGAAAAGCATGTGCCACCATTTCTTAATATAAGAAAGACTGGGTTTTATAGCTCTCTCCAAAGACTGCATCACCATAATTTACATTCTCAAAATTATGGTAACTCTTTTTAGGGTGGTAGCAATTTGTCTGGTATTTTAATCTATTTTGAGTTAACATCTATTAGCAATTTTGAAAATGTGAGGCAATTGCGATGCTAATTAAGGTAAATCGCACCATAGTTTCATTTCATGTGCTACCAAGGAAAGGTGAGGAGAGAAACCTGTAGAGCTTCAGAGACTCAGTTTAACAGATTTATCTAGACAGCTTCGTTACCTTATCAACACTGTCCTCAAAAAAGTTCTGGACCAGTGTAAGCCTCAGCCTGAATTAGCTCGATACCTCTGTTCAAAAAGGTAATGCTGAAGAAATCATTTAACTATATCGTGACGGGATTCTTATTTTCGCTTTGACCTGTGCTATACGAGAGGACAGGTTTCCTGTTGGGGGTTAGTCATTGGACATCTGAGTATTTTAAAATCACACTTAAGATAAACCACTTAAAGCCACTTACGTTGTAATGGAGCAAGTTTTCCTATAAAAAGTGAACAGTGTTTAAAATACCTGTAACAATAAAATGGACCATATTATTCTGCCCTGTCTGTAACATCCTTGGCCATAGGAATATTTTGGCCATCTCTGTTTCCCCTCCGACCCCACTGTCTGATACATTCTTTTTTTTTTTTGGCCAGCGCTGGGTTTGAACCCACCGCCTCTGGCATATGGGGCTGCTGCCCCACTCCTTTGAGCCACAGGTACCACCCATACATTCTTGCCCTATTAGAAGATAAGCTCCGTGAGACAGGAATTGTATTTTTGTTCACCATCAGAGCCCCAGTACCCAGAGCAGACCTAGCACATGGTACATTCTCAATAAATAGGTGTTGGCTAAAGTACTACTACCTAGAGGATTGTTCAGTGACTATTTATGGATGAAAATACCAAACAAGACTGTGCCAGGAGGGGTGGGGATAAGCTCG